TCGTCGTCGTCGTCGTCGTCGTGATCATCGTCGTCGTCATCGTCGTCGTCGCTTTCGTCGTCACTCGTCCCCGCCCCTGTCGTCGTCGTCGTCGTCGTCGTCGTCGTCGTCGATGATCGCATGAACGAAAATGAGAGCAGCATGACGTGGCACAGCCGTGACTAGAACCTAAGACCTAAGCGCGCGAAGCGCGCGCGTGGGTCTTATACATCCATACATACATACATACATACATACATACATACATACATACATACATACATACATACATATGTATTTATTTATATAGACATACGTGTTACATATATATATAGGGAGAGATGTATTGGCCCTGGGGCCAATGTATACAAATGTTCTCCGCCAGCTGGGTCCTTTGGACGTCGGTTCCCAGGCGGTGGATATGGATAGCTCCCCGCCTCGCACCTCCTCCCGTGCTTCCATCCCTGCTTCTGCCTGGCTCTCCTGCGTCGGATCCCTCAAACGTTTCGTGGCAAAGTTCGCATGGCGGCGCCGAGCCCAGTTCGGCACGCCCCCCACATGTTGCGTGGCCTCATAAAAGGGAATTCCGTCGAAGGTCCCGAGGCAAGATGCACACGGCGCCGCCGCACCCATTCCGGCACACCCTTCACACGGAAAATGTCCCAGAGGGGGCTACACCGACGGCACCAGTGGTGGCCCCTTACGTCGCGCTTGTCGTGATCCCTACAGGGAGATCAGTCCACGGCCTCAGTGGGCAAATCCGCATGGCGGCGTCGCGCCCATTTCGGCACACCCTCAATCGGATCGTGTCCCACAATTTCGGACTTCCGCCTGGGCTTGAGTGGGCCGGTTCGCACGGCGGCACCGCGCCAATTTTGACACACCTCTCATACGGATCGTGTCCCACAGGGAGCTCTTCCTGTGATCTCAGTGGGCCAGCTCTCATGGCTGCACAGCGTCCGTTTCATGTCGGCACACCCTTCAAACGGACCGTGCCCCATTGAGCTGCACCTGCGCCCTCAGTGGGTCAGTTCGCATTGCGGCGCCGCGACAATTTCGGCACCCCTCAAACGGATCGTGCCCCATGGAAGCTGCACGTAGGGCTTCCGTGGGCCAGTTTGAATGGCGGCGCCGCGCCACTTCTCGGCTCACCTGTCACACGAATCGTGCTGGAGCTCCACCTACGGTCTCAGTGGGCGAGTTCGCATTGCTGTGCCACGCCCATGTCTGCACCTCTCACAGTGATCGTGGCCATAACTACGGACTTCCAATCGGATCGTGCTCTGCCCACAGCCCAGTTCGGCGCTCACGTAAGACCCTGGTTCCATTCCGCGGCGCAGAGTGCGTCCCCAGCCCTTCACGCAGCTGCACATGTTTTGTCTCTTCGCCAATTCTTCGTTTGTTGGACGGTCAGGAGGCGACCCGCGGCGTGAAATCGGTTCCGAGCATGGGGCCGAGAACTATGAGGGCCCGCGCCGCGACGCCGGAGACATGGGGACGATGACGATGTCGACGGCGACGCCAGCGATCGCGACAGCGGCAGCAGCGGCGGAGACGACGAGGACGGTGACCGCCGCGGCCGCGACACCGAGGATGATGGCGGCGACAGCGACGAGGACGACGACGACGACGACGTTTTGGGGTGCTTTTGTACCGAAGAAAGGGGGAGGCGGCAGCAAGCCATTTGTTGGATGGATCTTTCAGGGTCTCCGCCGCCTCAAGCGGTGTGCGTCCAGAGCAGGAACGCAGCAGAGCCACAGGAAAGCGAGGCATTGGCAGTGTAGCTCCGCACGCGTGTCGAATGCTCCTGCGAGCAAGAACGCAGCAAAGCCCCAGGACAGTGATGCATTGACAGTGTAGTTCGGCCTCAATACAGTGGCCGGCGGGCTGCCCACCAGGCGGCGCGGCAGCCGGCGCGGCCGCAGCCGCCGCCCGCCCAGTCGGCGCCGCAGCCAGCGCTCGCCCAGCCGGCCCCTGGCGGCCAGCAGGCGCCCGCCCAGCCAGCGCCCCCGGCCGCCCAGCAGCCGCCCACCGCGCCGCCGCCTGCCGCGGGTTCGGCCGCCGCGGGCTCGGCCGCCGCGGGCTCGGCGGCCGCGGGCGGCGCGGCGCCGGGCAGCTCCGCGGCGGCCTCGGGCGGCGCCGCGGCCGCAGAGGCTGGCGGCGGCTCTGTGGGCGCGGCCGCCGACGGCGGGGCGGCGGGGACGGCTCCGAGGGCCGCTGCCTCCGGCGGCGGAGGCACGGGTGCGGGCGCCGGCGTCGAGGCCGCGGAGGCGGAGGCGAAGGCCGCGGAGCCGCAGGCCAGGAAGAAGGCCGAGGGGCGCGCGCCCTCGGCCGCGGGCTCCCAGGCTTCACCGCGGGGCGGCTTCGAAAGCAAGGAGGTGTACGGCTTCGCGGGCGCTAAGCTCACGGAGTCGATGGCGCCGGGGAAGGCCATCGTGCTGAGGCTGGAGCTCGGGGGAGGAAAAGGCTGCTACCAATACCGCAGACCTTCCCTCGTTCTCTATGCCTTTTTGGGCCTCCTGCATGGCCCTCGTCGCCCAGACTGGATTCGCATCGCAAGTCTGGTTAGAATGCACTGGGGAGAGGTCCGGGGAGTAGCAGTATCGGTACCGCTTTGTTCCCCCAGAGGCTGGAGCCGCTGAAACCGGGGCTGCCAGAGTACGAGAAGGTGCTGGCCATTGCCAAGCAAGAGGTCACGGTTGGGTCGCTGAAGGGCAAGGTGGACATCTACATCCGGGATGAGGTGGTCAGCAAGCGCCACACGGTGCTGGAGCTGATAGGGGTCCACAGCGAGCTGGCCCTAGCCGTGGTGGACTGCTCCACGAACGGCACATTCGTCAATGGCAAGCGCGTCCCCATGAAGCAGAGGCGTTTCCGCATCCGCAACGGCGACACGCTCTGCGTGAAGGATCCCGCCATCGAGGAGGACTATGGGTGGAGGCTGGATTTTGGCAACACCGTCTCGTTCTTCACCCGCGCCTGACGCAGGTGACAGACGCGATGATCGTCTGGGGTCCGAAGGATGTCGTGCGACGAGACGTAAACGTGATGGTGATGGCAGGCCTGAAGTCGCTGACGGTCTAGACGCGCGCCTCGTCGTGAAGTAGAACACGGCGTGCCGCAAGCAAAATCGCGTAGTGAATATTTGTGGAGAGCACTGGGACGTCACGCGAGAATACAGACGTGTAAACGAATGCGAACACATGCGACACATCGGTATCACACATGTGGATGAGGGTAGCGAGGCATGCTTGAGCAATGACACGTCGTTGTGTACATGACGCTCGAAAGCAGAGTTTTGTGACGACAGCAACGAGGCCGCGGTACTTCATGTTTTGGTTGGATGAGCAGTGTATGCTTCGCTGCGCACATGAAGCAAGCGCGAAGAGGACGGAGATGACGCCGGTTTCGGGTCTGGACTGCCTCGATGATGGGATGATCGGAGGTTCTGCGTGCGCCTTGTGCTGTGAATGCGTGACCCGTCTTGGTGGTACGTGTTCTAGTCGTGTCGCCACGCTGAAGCACATGCGAGCCACGTGTGAGCCGCGAAGCACATGCGAGCCACGTGTGAGCCGCGCTAGTGGTGCTTGAGTGGACCTGCGCGAAAAGCGAGAACCGTGTCAGCGATGCACCTGCTGCGTATGCTTTTCTTGTTTGGGCGTGTGTGTGTGTGTGTGTGTGTGTGTGTGTGTGTGTGTGTGTGTGCCCGTCGGTACAGTCAACCCGCGTAGTGAGGATGGGCAACCTTCCCAAGCGTACCCTGGCATCCTTGCCTCCTCGGTCCATCCTTCGCCACTTTCGTTGGCCGCGCCCCGCTCGAAAAGCTTCAACATGGGCGTCCACAGCCCCTGCATCCTCATCGCGCATCCTAACTATACGGGTTGACTGTAGTGTTTGTGGCCGTTCCCGCTCGTCCTCTCGCGGCTGCCACCCCCCGTGAGATCTCCGCCACAGTGTGGCTCCCCATGGGCGAGTCTGCGCCTCCCCGCCCGGTGGCTGCGTGCGCGCCCGTGGCGCTCTGCCTTCTCCGCCTGCCCGGCTCCACTCGGAGGTGCTGCGCTCGCGCTTGCGACACCAACAGTGTGTGTGTGAGAGAGAGTGTGTGCACCCCCTTTCGTGCACAATTCTGGGAGCAACTCTTCGCGTGCGCGCCAGTTTGCGGGCTTCAGCTGACCGTGCAATCTGCACTGTGAGAAACGCTTGCTCGTGTCCCGCTCAACATTTCGCGATGGTGCTGCCACCTTGCCCGAGGAGGAACGTGTTTGTGTGTGTGTGTGTGTGTGTGGGGGTGTTTGTATGTGTTTGTGTTTGTGTTTGTGTGTGTGTGTGCATGTCGGTGTGTGTGTGTGTGTGTGTGCGTGTGTGTGTGTGTGCGTGTGTGCATGTTTGCGTGTGTGCGTGTGTGTCTGTGTGTCTGTGTGTCTGTGTGTCTGTGTGTCTGTTTGTCTGTCTGTCTGTCTGTCTGTCTGTCTGTTTGTCTGTTTGTCTGTTTGTCTGTCTGTCTGTCTGTCTGTCTGTCTGTCTGTCTGTGTGTCTGTCTGTCTGTCTGTCTGTCTGTCTACGGAAGAAGAACCTCGATGAACTCCATGTCTGGGGGTCGGAGCTCGAGAGGCCCAGCCGACCCTCTTCGCCGTGGTCTGGCTGGCAGGCTCCTCTCAGGTATATTCCTGTCCGTCCCCTCGCGGTGTCCCCCCGAGAGTCCTGCCCGCTTGTCCCTGGCGCTTGCTTCTTGTGCGTTGTGTTTGCAGTGTTTGTCCCTTCCTCCTCTGCCTGTCGGCCCTCTCCCTCTTTGGGTGTACTCTGCGCGGCAGTCCTCGTCCACATGCATGGTCGCGCGCGTTTTCCAAACAGAAACTAACAAAACCACATATTCCCTAGCAGTCTTGCGTCCCCTTCGTCCGTAATCCGCTTCATCCTCCTCTCCCTCGCCCTCTCCGCTTGCTTCCTCTCCCTCTCCCTCTCCCTCTGCCTCTCCTCTCCCCCTCCCCTCTTCCCCCCCCGCCTGCTCCCCCCCCCCCTGCAGTAAGCAAACCCCGCTCCCCGCCGCGACGCCGCCGGGCCCGCGCGAGGGGGGGCCCCTGCCCACCATGGGGTGCGCGCACGCCGGCGCTGCGGGCGCCAGCGGCGCGCTGCCCCCGGCGGAGCTGCACCCGTGGTCCGTGGAGAGCGGGTCGGCGTCCAGCTCGTGGGACGCCGCGCCTGACGAGGATGTCCTCCCGGGACCCTCTCGGCAAGCGGGGGCCTCGCCCCCCGATGTTTTCTCGGGGCGCAGAAATCACGACGGCGTCTTTTCCCAAAGGTCCTGTGGTGTTGGGTCCCCGTTTTGAAGAGACAGCGCCCCGCGTCTCACCTCCTCCACTCCTTCTGGTTAATTTCTCCCTGTCGCAACCGGAGGCCAGTTTTTAGGGCGGGCCGGGCGTTTCGCCTGAGATTGCCACACCAGTCATGACCCTGAAGCTTGAACAGTGACAACAGTTTCACATATGGAGAGCGGGTGGTTTTCAAAATGTGGCTCCCGCCTTCGCACAGCGCGCATTCGTTTTAAACATTGCAAGAGTTTCACGGATTGAGGGCGGGTTGTTTTCAAATGTGGTTCTCGCTTTAGCGCCGCGCAAGGGTTTCACGGATTCAAGGCATGTGGTTTTCAAACTGTTCTTCTCGCCTTAACGCCGCGCACATGCGTTAACAAATAAACATTATAAGAGTTTCGCGGGTTCCCCTTATCAACTTGCCAGAAATTGTATTGTGGAGAGATTCAAGATTATGAGGGTGCAACAGGTCTGTTGTTTCGCGGTGCTGCAGTCCCAGGAATGGCGTTCTGGCACGACTCAGGAACGTCAAGACGCAACAGTCAGGTTGATCCGTGGCGTTGAAATCCCGAGAGCAATGTTTTGGCATGCTTCAGGGTCTTAAGCGTTTGTCTTCCAACGAGGCAATTCCCTCAGTGGAAATGAACCGTTGTGTGCGCCTTATGAAGAGGGAGCCTTGAAGGAGGGATTATTCCAACCTCGTTGATGATTCTTGGGTTTGCACTGGTCCTCCTCCTCCTCCTCCCGCTCCTCACGCTCCTCTCTCCTCCGATCCTTCCTTGTGCCCTCCGCACCAGTCAACCACACGTTTCGTGGCCCCATTGTGAGTTTTGCCCAAGGTCCCACTGGCGCAGCCCGCATGTGAGCGCCACTCCCGTTTCGGCACGCCCCTCACGCGTTTCGTGGCCCAACAGGGAGCTCCACCGAAGCCCCCGGTTGCCCGCATGTGGGCGCCACCTCCGTTTCGGCCCCCCCCCCGCACGTTTCGTGACCCCACGGGGAGATCCACCTACGGTCCAGTGGCGCAGCCCGCATTCGGGCGACACCCACGTTTCGGCACACCCATCACACGCTTCGTGGCTCCACAGGGAGCTCCACCGAATGCTCCAACAACACAGCCCGCATGTGGGCAGTGCCCCATAGGGAGTTCCAGTTAAGACGGTGCTCACAATTGCGGTATTCACAACTGCATATAGTTGGGTTCTTCGCCAGGCGTTTTTTGTTGTTGTTGTTGCTGCTGCTGCTGCTGTTGTTGTTGTTGTTGTTGTTGTTGTTGTTGTTGTTGTTGTTGTTGTTGTTGTTGTTGTTGTTATTGTTTCTGTTGAATTCTCATTCCCAAATAACAATCATTGTTGATTCCCCCTCTGGTAACCATTCGATGTTTCAATCAGGTTGGTTCTTCTGTGGCTCGCACCTTGTTTTTTAATCAGACCAGTGTGGGGTCACTAAACTGGGCCTCTGGCCCCGGTTTGCAATGACAACGGCTCCCGCCTGGTTTTTCCCCACAATGTATTCCCAAATCGCGCTCTCGCGCGGACTTCCTTGCAATTTCTGCAGGAATCGTGCTCTCGCGTGGGGCGTCCTCGCAATTTATCAGACGCCGCGCTCTCGACACTCGGGATCACGCTCTCGCTGTGGATTTCTCACGATTAATTTGGGAATCGTGCTGTCGCTCGAGTCTTCCTCGCGATTCATGCAAGACGTACGCTTCAGCAACCCGTCTGCTCGACCTGGCCGCCTAGGCCCGCCTTTCCGGCCCGTTAGGGTCTACCCGCCCGATCTGCCCGTCTGGTTCTGCCACGTGTTTTCTAGCCCCCCTCCTGCTACTCTCTCTTGTGCTCCATCCTCCTCCCTCCCCTCTGTCCCTTCCTTCCATCCGTCCTCTCTTCCCCTGCCTTAGGGACTGCGCGAAATACACGTTGCAGGTAAGAAAGAAACAACCTTAAGGTGGTACGATCGGAGACGACGAGGGTGGGTATCGAGGGTCTGGGATATACGTGTTGAGTGTTGAGTGGCACGCGAGCAGGCAAGAGCGAATCTCATTACAATGGTCGTGTTCGTTGTCGTTGTCGTTGTTGTTGTTGCTGCTCTTGTTGTTGTTGTTGCTGTTGCTGCTGCGGCTGTTATTGCTGCTGTTGTTGTTGATGGTGTTGTTTTTGTTGTTGTTGCTGTTGAATGTTAATTACTAGACACTTGATATTGTTGGACTCCTTACAAGTGCCCTGGCGCTCCCGCCGAGGCGCCAGCTACATGTTCATTGAACTTGCGGCTCACGCTCGAGCGGTTTGAATCGCCCCCCCCAACAACAACGACGCTCCCGCTCGAGACTTCCTCCTTTGTTACTCAGGGCTGGTGTTCTTGCTCGCCGCCGAAGGCCACCGTCCTAACAATATCAGCGCTCCCGCTAGAGACTTCCTCCCATTTTACTTTGGACTGGCGCGCTAGTTTTTCTCTCATCGGCACCGCCCCCAGCACAAACAACGCTCCCGCTCGAGGCTGTCTCCCTTTTTTACTCAAGGCGCTGCTCCTCCTCGCCGCCGAAAACAGCCGCCCCGACAAAACCAGCGTTCCCGCCCGAGACTTTCTTCCGTTTTACGCTGGACTGGCGCCCAACTCTCTTTTGCATTGGCGCCGCTCCCAGCCAGAACAACGCTCCCGCTCGAGGCTTCCTCACTTTTTCCTGGCAATCCGAGGTCGTACCAGAACATCGTTCCTGGGACTTCAGCACTGCGAATCCTTGAAACTCCTACAAGCTCTTCAAACGAATGTATGTGGTCGGCGCTAAGGCGAGAACCACCTTTTGAACAGCAGCAGGCTTCCATCCTTGAAGCTGTTGAAATCTTGAGGACGCATGCGCACGACACTCGGGCGAGAGCCCCATTCTGAGAACGACCCGCCCTCAGTCCGTGAAGCTGTTGCAAGCATCAGGCTTCAGGATCATGCGTGGTGAGGGAGGCTCAGGCGGACCGCCCGGCCCAGCCTACGGACACGCCTGGGGGTGCGACAGGGAGGAGTTATCGATAGGGAAAGGGGATGGAGGGAGGAAGATGAAGGGGAGGGGCGACGGCGAGTAGGAACAGGAAGGAGGTGGTCGGGGGCCGCCAGGAAGGGGGCGCTTGCCAGGGAGGAGGACGAGGGAGGACGGAGGGGGGAGGACGAGGAGGAGGAAGAAGGAGGCCGCAGGAGGAGGAAGAAGGACGGCCGCCAGGGAGGTTGAGAGAGGACGGATGAGGAAGGAGGCGGACCCAGGAGGAGGTAAAAGGGAGGAAGGGGGAGGAGAGGGGGGGACCTGCTCATCGCCTATCTGTGAGTTGTAGTCGTCGTCATCGTCGTCGTCGTCGTCGCTCTCCCTCATCGCAGCCGCCGCCGTCGGCGTCGCTGTCGTCGTCGTAATTTGTCGCCCACTTGGACTTGCTCTCACGCCCAGACGCTCACGGCCAGACGCTCACAGCGGGACGTGCCAGGACATGAGATGCACACATGGGGACTTCCGCGCCGAGTAAAGTTTTCTGGGAGGGAGAAACTCACCACCCACCAACCCACCCCAACCCAACCCGAAAGCCCCGATTTGCCCTCCATTTCCATTTTGGGGGGGTGGGGGAACATTGAATAACACATATGGAATCCGTATCCCCCCAACCCGAAATTCGGGTCTTCGGGTTGGGTTGGGGTGGTCTGGTAGGTAGTCAGAAGCCGTATCAACGACGCGCTGCCCCTGGTAGCCCGTCAGCGCATAGTTTCTTCCTTTTCGTCCGAAGGCCTCGTAGTTCTGAAACAGTGCCACGCGGATGCCTTCCCGACGGCGGCGTGCCATCTATACCGTGCTTCTGCCCCTTCATTTGTCGGGCCTCCTCCTCCTCCTCCTCCTCCTCCTCCTCCTCCTCCTCCTCCACGGCTGGATATGCCAGGATGGACCCCGAGGTGCCCATGGACAGATTCTGAGCGGGTCGGGCCGGGCGGGGGAGTCGCGGTCGTCTCCCCTTGGACGCCTTCCGAGAGCCGGCCAGGAGGAGGTCCGCGTGTTTTACGAGATCGCCGTGGACAGGAGGACGAGGCGCGATCGCCAGGGCTCCGACGACAGCGCCGGGGAGCTGGACGCCGTGGGGCCGCGCAAGTCCTTGGCGATCGGCAAGATGAAGTCCATGAAGGCGCTCATGGGCCACGCGTTGACGAAGCGGCCCCGGGCGAAGTCGCTGGTGTCCCGAGGCTCCAGGTTCGGGGGTCCCCAAACGTCGCGGTGGCTGCACAGTGTGGTGGGTCAGTGGGGCTTCGGGGTGACCGCACGGTTGTGGGATGCGAGGCCCTGAAACCCTGCGGTGACGGGCCGTGCGGTGATGTCGCTTTTGAGGCTTGGAGGTCGCCGCACGGCATGCCGCCGCCTCGTTCTGGGAGCCCCGGCAGGTGCCGCAGCGTCACGAATGGGTCGATCCTGTCGGAGGGCGACGAGCAGCACCCGCCCAAAGACTACTTCCTGACTGCGGACCAGCTGGCCGGCCTCGCCGAGGACCTCGGGTTCCAGGACCCGGGGCGACGAGATCCGCACACGTCCACCGCCCCTGGCCAGGCGCGCCCCGGGCCCAGGAGCGGTGTGCAGACGCCTCCCTGCCCCGGGCAGGGAGGGCGCACGCGGATCTCGAGTTTCTCGTGGAGCGGATGCGGCGCTTCGTGCTTCGGGGCTCGTGCGCGCGGGAGTCTGATCTCGGAATCTCGGTGCTTCTGTCGACGACGATCGCGCCAGGGACGCGTGCAGCCCGAACTCCTCGTGGATCCGATGCGGGCCTGGCCAGGGGCAGTGGATGTGCATCGATCTCGTCCTCCCAGAGGACCTGGGGCGTGATGAGATCGCCAGGATCTACGGCGGCATGCCCAAGGACGAGAACGGGAAGGCCCGAAGACGGAAGCACTGCAGAAGTAGAAACTGTCGGCGCTCCGCGCGGCTTTCTTGGATCTGCGCTGGGCTCCTCATGGCGGCGCCTCCGTCCCCGCCCCTGGCGCGCGGAGCGCGCCAGGGAGTAGGGTCCAACGCCGATCCGAGAGATCCGCGCGGAGCGCCGAAGGAAGTTTTCCAAGGTGGGCAAGGAGCAGTTTGCGGCCGCGGTGCGGGCCGGGCCCGCGGCGCCCGCGCTGCGGCTGCTGGTGCAGAAGCTGCACAGGGGCTTCGCGTACGGCTTCAGCACGCCCGAGGACTACGACTTCTCGAGGCCGTCCAGCCACAACTACAGGTCAGGGGCAGCGCCAGGGGGAACGGGCTCGGGGGGGGGGATGCACTGTTGGCAGGTGGATCTCTCAAGCTCTCCGCCGCCTCTGGCGGTGCGCGCTGCGAGCAGGGACGCAGCAGAGCCACGGGAAAGCGCGGCATTGACAAACGCCCAATTATCGCCGATGGGGGCCCGTTGGCCCGTCCCGCCCAGGAACGGGCGGATTGGCTATCGGAGGCCCGATCCATCGACGATGCATCGCCGAGTCCAGCTCGGTGCTTCCCCCCCTGGAGCTCTCCCGCCTCCTGACGTGCCCACTCAGCAGGGCCGAGGGCAGGGAGTTCACCGACGAGTTCGCGGACCTGAGGATCTGCGGCGAGCCCCAGGGGGGATTCGAGAGGGGGTAGCGGCTTCTCCGAGGGCGGCGGGGCTCAGAGGCCCTGCCGCCTTCTCAGAAGGCCTCCAGTGGCGTCGGGAAAGGCTTGCAAGGCTTCTCAGAGGGCGCGAGGGCTTCTGGGAAGCCCCGCCGCCTTTGAGAAGGCCTGCCCCCTCTCACTTCCCTCCTGGGCTCGCTGCCGGGAGGAGAAACATCGACTACTCCTACCATAACAACTACACGCTGGAGAGGCAGCGGTGGCAGGACGAGGTGATCAAGAGCACGGTGGTGCGCTGCTCCGAGCAGCCGGCCCCCTGGCTGGTGTTCACCTGCGGGCCCATGGGCGTCGGAAAGGGCTACTGCATGAACTGGATGTCAAAGCACGGGTTCTCCAGGTTGCAACTCCTCACGCGCGCACGTAAGGCCATGTCTTCAGTAGGACGCGTCGGCAAAACCGTCTAAAGAGAATGCAGGGCACCTGTGGGAAAGTGCATAGTCGCAGCTGCGCTGCAGAGATGGGCAGGAGGACGAGGAGTGGGCGATGCACACCTGCAAACAGGACAAGCCGTACACAGAAGTCGCCCATTGTTGTCGCGGGCGCCCTCGCTTCCGGCGGCGTGCCCAAAATTGGGAATGCCTTTCGTGTAATGCAACTCCCGGGAGGTTGAATTCAGAATCGACGGTGGTAGATTCCTTGTTTTGGAATGGCCGAATCTGGCTTAATCCTGGTTGATCTGGCTTAATCCCGCTCCATCCGGCTTCGTCAAGGTCGATCCGGCCTAATCCCGCACAGTCCAGCTTAATCCCCGGCTGAATCCGGCCTGAGCGGGCTCAGTGGCTCAACGGCCCCTTGAATCGGGCTTCACAGCTTCCCATCGTTCTGGCGAAACCCTCCCAGGAGTTGCCTCCTAAGGTTCTTCCCGCTGGAGAACATCGTCCACGTGGACCCTGACGCCTTCAAGCTGATGATGCCAGAGTGGCCCAGGTACGTGAAGCAGAGCGGGGAGGAGGCACTGATGGGGGGAGCCGAGCAGCACAAAACTGCATGAGCATACGGCCAAGCATCTGGTCAAGCAGCGTCCTCCCGAAAGGCTGGGCCAGCGTTTCTCCAGCAACTTGCCGGAGGGCTGGCTCGGTTCCTTGAGCGCGTTCGCCCTTCAGCGTCAACGGCAGAAGCTTGCCCAGGTCTGTGTCAAGGAGCCTCCGGGAGGCAGGCTCGGAGTTCTTGCACGATCCGTTTTTTGAGCACACTCTCGGCCGTAATCTTTCGGAGGCCCATGCGAACCTCAGGGGTCGCCGCTGGAGCCCCCCCCCTCCCACAGCCCTGGCGACGCCTCTGGCGCGCTCTGCGCGCTGGGAAGAAGCGTGGTGAGTGGGCTCCAGCGTCGACCCAAGAAATCTGGCTGGGGGCTCGATCTTCGGAGCCCACGAAAGTCATGAGTCACGACCCAAGAAATCCGAGCGGAGACTGGATCCATAACCACCGCCTGGGGGATCGCGCTTCGGGGACCTCGGCAGGCGGTGGATGTGGATACATTCGGGCCCCGGGTGCCAGTGTAAACTCAAGAATCATCAACGATGTTGGAGGCGAGAGCCACATTTCGAAAAGTAAAAGCCCTCAATCCGTGAAGCTCTTGCAATGTTTTAGAACGAATGTGCGTGGTACAAAGGCGAGAGTCACATTTTGAAAACCACCCGTCCTCCATTTGTGAAACTGTTGTCAATGTTTGAGGAAGTCTCAGGCGAAACGCCCGGACCGCCCTGAAAACTGGCCTCGGGGTGCGACAGGGAGAAGTTATTTATAAGGAAAAGGAATGGAGGAGGAGGAGCAGGACGAGGAGGAGGAGGATGAGGAAGAGAAGGAGCAGGAGGAGGAGGAGGAGAATGAGGAGGAGGAGGAGGAGGATGAGAAGGATGAAGCAGGAGGGGAAGGCGGAGGATCTCGATGTTTGTTGCTCGTTTCGGATAACCGTGAGAGCCCTCGTCGCCACTAGTGGCTGGACTCCGTTCGAGATTCTGTGCTGATGGTGCTCCAGGACAAGTCTTTCGCTCCTTATTCCAGGGGCGGATGAGACCCCGATAACTATGAATGTACATGGTACATGGATCGAGGGCGTCTCGCTTACAACATCGCTGTTCCGCTACGATACCGCAGGTGCTGTTTTTTAAGCGACATGGCAGCATGCAGGGAGACCGACCTCCGTGCTTTGCCATATGAGTCTTCTTGGACACCTCTTGCCATCCTCGTCGTCGGTGCCGTCGTCATCATGGACGTTGTCTTCATCGTCGTCGTCGTCGTCGTCGTCCTTCCTCTCATCACCATCACCATCATCATCATCATCATCATCATCATCATCATCATCATCATCATCATCACCATCACCATCATCATCATCATCATCATCATCATCATCATCATCATCATCATCGACCAGAAGTATTGAGTACAATTGGCGGGAGGCCCTCGTTAATACCCAGAAGTCGCTTTTTGCCCTTGCTGCTCCCTTCCTCGGCTCCTCTTCCGTGCCGTGCGAAATGGTCTGTTCTGTACACTCGCACATTTCCGGATATTAACTGATTGGCCCGTTATTTGTGATGGGGTTCATGTGACGAAATTTTGTGCATTGGAACACTCGAGAATCATCATCATCATCATCATCATCATCATCATCATCATCATCATCTTCATCATCATCATCATCATCATCAGCATCATCAGCATCATCACCATCATCACCGTCGTTGTCGTCGTCGTCGTCATCACCACCACCATCACCATCACCATCACCATCACCATCACCATGACCATGACCATCACCATCATCACCATCATCACCATCACCATCATCATCACCATCATAATCATCATCAACATCATGATAATCAGCATCCTCATCCTCATCACCATCAACATTACCATCAACATCAGCAACATCAGCATCATCACCATCACCATCACCGTCACCATCACCATCACACTCACAATCACCATCACCATCACCATTACCATTACACCATCACCATCATCTTCACCATCACCATCACCTCCACCATCACCACCACCATCACCACCACCATCACCATCACCATCATCATCATCATCAGCATCATCGTCATCACCATCACCATCACCGTCACCATCACCATCACACCACCATCACCAATTTCCACCACCATCGTCATCGTCATCGTCATCATCATCATCGTCATCATCATCATCATCATCATCACCACCATCATCATCATCATCATCATCATCATCATCATCATCATCATCATCATCATCATCATCATCATCTTCATTGTCATCATCGTCATCATCGTCAGCATCGTCATCAGCATCATCGTCAGCATCACCATCTGCATCGTCATCACCATCCCTCCTCCTCCTTTTCTTCTTCCTAGTCCTCCCCGAGTGTGGCCAGGCTGGGACGCTCTGCCACATGGAGTCCTCCTTCATGATGGAGATTGCGCAGTGGGCTGCCATGCAGAGGCGCCAGAACATCTGGATAGATGGAGGGCCGGGTTCGGCCGCTCCGACGACGACGGCGAGGACCTCCAGAGGCCTTCAGATGTCTCTAGAGGTCCCCAGGAGTCTGCAGAGGTTCCCCGAGGCCTCCAGAGGTCGCCGGAGGCTTTTGACGGCCCAGAGAGAGCCAGAGACGTTCAAATTCGTACGGTTCTCGCACCTCGAGGGCTGAGGATCGAGCTCTCACGATGTCTGGACTGAGGGATGACTGGGGTCTGGCCGCTCCAGGGCGCCCTATTCAAGTGACCCCGAGTGGCCTGCCGGACGTGCGGGCAGGGCTCCGGGCAGCAGTGTCTCTGGAGGGGAGGGGCAGGGAGGTAGCGGGAGGTGGGGGGAGGAGGAGGAGGAGGAGGAGGAGGAGGAGGAGGAGGAGGAGGAGGAGGAGGAGGAGGTGGGGCGAGGAGGAGGAGGAGGAGGAGGAGGAGGAGGAGGAGGAGGAGAGCGGAGGAGGAGGAGGAGGAGGAGAGAGGCGGAGGAGAGAGGCGGAGGGATAACAGGATAAGCAGGATATGCTGGTCCTACCTCTTACCGTGTAGAAGGGACTTGCCAGGGCACGGGAGCCCTCACTCGAGGAGAGGACGTAGTCGTTGATGTTTATGGCGTGGATTGGAGAGTCAAGCTAGGATCGGTTGGACCGTACGGCGAAAAAATAACATATACGGAGACATCGAACGCACGGTGTAGAGCCGATGTGGAATATGTCGGCCAGCGGTGCCCATGCTACCAGAGAGATCCGAGCACCAGCCAGATAAACTCCCCAGAAGAGTCAGTTACAGTTTGAACGAGCTTCCGACTACCTACGGCGCTGGCGCCGTTCCAATAGAGTAGGAGTGGGTACAGAAACGTTTCTGCTTCACCACCGACAGGCACTAGCCAACATCATCAATGGTATCGCGACGCTGCTGGATGATGATTTTCTCCCGCTTTTCAGCAGGGTGATCAACAAGTTGCTCGCACTGGTCGAGCAATGATGGGGACCGAGACGGTTGCGGGACAACCCAGTCAGTCAAACGGAGACGGCGTGCTTTCAACAAGGTCGCGGACCACCTCGTGGATTTCAAAATGTATGAAAGAACGTATTTTTGCCAGAGATTTCAACAACCATGTGAGAGCACTATGGCTCAAGGCAAACATTATGGGACACAGCCACGGGGGCACACGCCAATCATCTTGTTCCCTAGCGGCATGTCACGTCGATGTGCACATTCGCACGCATGTGGGATGGAATTCGTATCCGTTTTGTATGGTTGGCCGGTACATTGACAGACCCATCTCGTCTGTTTTGGCCGTGGCGATGGATTCCGAGGAAATGTTAGATGTCATGTCTAGTAGTTGCTTCAATCTGGCCAGCACCATTGTGCTTTAAACCTGGGGAGTGAGAGCGGGAGGGAGGGAGGGAGGGAGGGAGAGGGAGGGAGGAATGGAGGAGGAGTAGGAGGAGGAGGAGGAGGAGGAGGAGGAGGAGGAGGAGGGAGGCGGAAGGACAAGGTGAGAGGAAGGAGGGAAGAGGAGGTGTGGTAGTGGTGGGGTGAGGGAGGAGGAAATTGTGTAACAGCTACTTCGAGCGAAGCGAACGCGAGCACGATACCAGCCTCATCAGAGGAACAGACTGTTTCAAACCAGTGCTAGCCGCGCCCCAGCACCAGAGGGGTGGGGATTGCGATGTTGGGAAGGGTGATGCTGTGGTGGAGCAGACGGCACCATTGCCAGCCTCAGCTGGCATAAACATTGAGTTAGCTAGCGTATGAGCCTCGCCTCATATTCCATTGCTGATCTGCTCGCATCGCTCGAGGCGCACCTGGTGCCCCCAAGACAACGCCCAGGTAGAGGGTTCCAGGCGTACCACACACACAGTTCTCTGTATTCTCAGCTTTTATTTCTTCCCACCTCGATCCAAGCTGCCACGAGCGGAACCGATTCTATAACGACCAGCCTCAAATGACCAGCCCACTTATCCATACAGTCTGCGCCATCCGCCCACCATGTACTAGAATTGCACGCCGCCGCCCAGACAATGTCTACAGTCGAGATGCTGAAATAAGAACCGCTTTGGGTTCGCAAGGGGCCCGCTGTTCCGAAGGTCCTTCCCCACGGTTGTTCCTCGGGCCTTCCTCACGCACCCGGGCTCTCTTGGAGCAGAACAAAGGGGTTTCGTTCCTGAATTCGCGCTCCTTATTTCAGCAGTTCGAATGTACTGTTTCGCACCGTGCATGTACCAACCCAGCTCAGCTGCAGTGACACCGTCCCGCTCCCTCTCTCTCTCTCTCTCTCTCCTCATCAACCTCCTCCACTTCCCGCCTCCTCCTCCTCCTCCTCCTTCTCCTACTGCTCCTGCTCCTCCCCCTCCTCGTCCTCCTCGTCCTCCTCGTCCTCGTCCTTGTTCTCGTCCTCGTCCTCCTCCTCCTCCTCCTCCTCCTCCTCCTCCTCCTCCTCCTCCTCCTCCTCTCCTCCTCCTCCTCCTCCTCCTCCTACCTCCTCCTCCTCCTCCTCCTCCTCACTTCTTCCTCCTCCTCCTCCTCCTCCTCCTCCTCCTCCTCCTCCTCCTCCTTCCCTCCTCCTTCCCCCCCTCCTCCTCCTCCTCCTTCCTCCTCCACCTTCCCTCCTCCTTCATTTCGGGGCCCCCCTCCTCGCCCACGAGCCAAGAGGGCGCGCCGGGCAGGCCGAGCGCCTCATGGTACGCTCGGCGGCCCTGCACACGTGCCAACACCTGCCCGCAGTGACGTACACGGCCCACCCTGCGGCAGCCGCTGCGGCCGCCGCTCGGAGACCATCCGCCAGGGCTCGTTTCGATTCCTCCGATTCGATTTGGAAGGCTTCTGCTTCCGGTTCGATTCGACTTCGGATTCCGATGTGGGATCCGATTTCTCAATGGAGGCCCACTAGCCTGCCGACGTTTGCCGATTCGACTTTTCCCGACTCGGTTGCCGATTTCCGTCAATCCGATTCATGTCGATCGCCGATCCGAGTTGTCGATTCGATTCTGGGCTCTCCTGCCATCCCCCAAGCGCCTCTACCTTTCTTGCCTCCCCGTCCTCTCCTGAGGTCCCCAGGGAGATCCCCGGATGCCTCCAGGCAGAGGTCCCCGAAGGCCCTCGGAGGCCTCCAGAGCTTCCGGGGGGGCAGGGAGCGCCCAGACATCCGGGATCTCCTTCTGCTTTTCCTCCTGCTCTTCCTCCTGCTCCTGCTGCTCCTCGTCCTGCTGCTGCTGCTGCTGCTCCTCCTCCTCCTCCTCCTCTGCCGCCGCTGGCCCGCGAACGGGGAGGCTCTCTGCGGAACGCGAGCTTTTACGCACAGGTCTTCGAGGACATCCGGACGCGCTACCCGCACTACAAAATATCCATCATGCGCCCCGCGCTCCACGGCGGAGGAGGAGGAGGACCAGGAGGAGCAGGAGGAGGAGGAGGAGGAGGAGGAGGAGGAGGAGGAGGAGGATCGGCGCGGCATAGAGCGGTCCAGTCGAGCCAGGACCGCCCCGAGCGCGACCTCGCGCCCCACGCGAGGCCGCAGTGGCGACGAGGCCCCCCCGCCGCGTGAGTGCGACCGCCCCTAGCACCCCGCAAGCGGGGTCCTAGACGGCCGCACTCACCCCAGGCCCTCGGGCCTGGCGGCACCCACAGGCACGGGAGCCACGGAGGCCACACGGGGCCCCCCGCCGCCAGGGTCCGAGGCGAGTCCAGCAGCCCCGCCTGGCTTGGCCCCCTGGGGGCCTCCAGTGCGGGGCGTACGCGCAGCAGCGCCGTCGCTCAGCCCCGCCGCGTCACAGCCGCGGCGGTAGGCGGCCAGGAGCGAGGCGACCACGGAGCTCCGCCGCGCTGCCTCCGCCGCCTCCGCAGAGCCCGCGGCCGCTCCCTCTCCCTCCTCGCCCCCGCCAGCAGGGCGGTGAGCCCGCGGCAGGGGCCCCTGGTGGCGCCGCACTGGCGGCTCTTCCACCCCTCTTGGGCCGCTCTCTGCCGCCTCAGCAGAGTCCGCGCCCTCGTCCTCGCCCCCGCCCGCAGGGCGGTGAGCCCGCGGCGGAGGCCCCTGGTGGCGCCGCGCTGGCGGCCCTTCCACCCCTCTTGGGCCGCTGGCGTCCCTTCGGCCTTCCCCATCGGCCTCGCCCTCCCCAGGGGTCGTGGGGGTCGCCGCGGCCTCTGCAGCTGCTCCAGCGGCGCACCAGTCCTCACCTCCAGCGCCGTCGCCGCCTCTGACGCCCTCCGCCGCCTCAGAGCCCCAGTCCTCACCTCTCATAGGTGGCACGCTCTGGCCACCGTCCTCGCCACGAGCGACGGGGCTCCCACTGATGGGCTCGGCGGGAGGAGGGGCGGGGCCAGCGCCCACCTCCTCTGCTGCTGCCGTCGGCTCGCCACCGCCAAGGCGCCACAGCGCGACGGCAACCTCGCTCGCGATCCTGGGCGCGAGCCCAGCACGCAGGCGCGCGATAGCCGCGCTGCCCGCGGCCGAGGGCGGCGTCTTGCACTCCAGCCCGAAGCTGCAGGCGCGAGCGGCTCCAGTGAACCCGCACCTGGTGCATGCGACCAACGGCAGCCTCCGCTCCAGCTCGCTGTCCAGCACAGGAGCGATGGCGACCAGGTCGTGCGCCGCGAGCCCCTTCTGCACCAGCAGCTCGTTGGCCTTCACCGCGCCCTCCAGGATGCTGCCAGGGCACTCGCCAGCGCGGTTGGTCCACCTGCAGACCTCACACCATCTGTCCTTGCCCTTCCCGCGCCAGCTGCAGCTCAGCCACGCGGAGGCTTCACGGCGCCGCCGAACCGCCCTCTTCGGCCGCTCCTTGCGATGGGTGGTGTCGCTGCCATCCACCCATGTGCCGACCGCAGTGCACCACATGGCCACCAAGTCCACCTGCTGCCGAGCCAGGTGCAGCTTGCGGCGATCGGCGGCCGAGGCACGGCCCTGGGCAGCCGCCGCCTTCGCAGCTGCGTCGGCGTACGAGTTGCCCTTCCAGTCGCGGTAGCTGATGGCGCCGTCCACGACCTGCCTCCTGGTGCGGTGGGCAGGGACCCATCGGAGGTGCACTGCACGACCAAGCCCTCCTCTGTCGTCCCGGAGGAGGAGGAGGAGGAGGGAGGAGGAGGAGGGGGAGGAGGGGAGGAGGAGGAGGGAGGAGGGAGGAGGAGGAGGAGGAGGAGGAGAGGAGGAGGAGGAGGGCAGGAGGAGGAGGAGGGAGGAGGGAGCCGGGGGTGCCTCCGTCTGCGGGGGCCGCCCTGCCGCGCCTCGCGCGCTGCGGCGAGCTTTGGCCCAGGGGGTCGGCCCGCTCAACGCAGGGCAGCGGGCGCGAGGCGCGGCAGGGCGCGGCGGCTTTTCTCCAGTCGACTCGCGGGGGGTCAAAGCCAAGGTACCTCGAGGTCAGTCGGGGTCGACCAGAGGAAGACGAGGTCTCCACACCTCTGCCCTTCCCTCGCTCTCCCCTTCTCGGGCCTCCGGGGGAGGCCCTCCTCGCCACCGCTGGACTCGCCTCGAGATTCCTGGTTATATTGGTACCCTTGGGTTCCCGAATCGAGCCAGATAAATGTAGGTCGATCCGGACAAAGCGAGGTAAGTCCAGAGATATTCGGGCGAATTTGGAGGAGGTCCTGGAAACTCCGGCGCGGGTCGAGCGACAGCAGAAGTCGTTGAGCCGTCGACGAGCCTCGCTCTCTGTTCTATCCCTTGACCCCGTCCAGGTGCGGGGTGGCTGGTGGCGGAAGCATTACTCGCGCCACTTGGCCCACCCTTGATGATGATGATGCTGCTGATGATGATGATGATGATGATGACTTTTGAGTATGATGATGACGAGGATGATGCAGACGAGGATGATGATGCTGATGATGTTGCTGATGGTGATGGTGATGAGGATGCTGATGATGATGATGATGATGATGATGATGGTGATGGTGATGGTGATGGTGATAGTGGTGATGGTGGTGATGATGGTGATGATGATGGTGGTGATGATGATGCTGATACGCATGATCATGATGCTGATGAGGATGACGATGATGCTGATGGTGATGCTGATGATGCTGATGCTGACGATGATGTTGATGATGATGATGATGATGATGCTTATGCTGATGCTGATGATGAAGAGGACGACGATGATGCTGATGCTGACGATGATGGTGATGATGATGATGATGCTTATGCTGATGCTGATGATGAAGAGGACGACTATGATGATGACGATGATGATGATGATGATGATGATGGTGGTGGTGGTGGTGGTGGTGGTGATGATGATGATGATGCTGCTGCTGCTGCTGCTGCTGATGATGATGATGATGATGATGATGATGATGATGATGATGATGATGATGATGGTGTGTTCAACTTCACCGCTGAAAACTCGATTCGAGCAACCGTGACAGAAAGGGAGTTGCGTGCGGGAACAGCGAGACGCTTCATCCGACGTGCGATGACGACAGGCCGAGCCCAGGAGGAGGGCGGGCGGCCTTCGAGGCCCGAGGCTCGAGGTTCGATGACCTCAGCGGGACCTCTCGGGACTTCTCGGGGCTCGAGGCTCGAGGCTCGTGGTTCGAGGTTTGTGGAGCGTTTTCGGGACTTTGCGTGCCTTCTGGCAGACCCTTTGTCGCCGCGGCCGGATGTTTCAGGGGAGGAGGGGGGGAACAGGAGGAGCAAGGCTTGTGAGACGTCGATTGGCCCAGTGGGACCATGTATCGGTTTCCCCGCCAGGTGCACGGTGGCTTGAAGGATCCAGTGAAGTGAAGCGTTCCCCTTTACCTCGTTTTGAAAAGGCGCGCGGTGGCCAACTGTGTGGGTTGATTTGCGGGTTTGATATCGAACCTTGCCTCAGGCGACATTCGAGGGCAAGCACCGTCCACAAGTTGTTCATAACTCCAGAGTGTCCCTCCCAGCACGGGTAATTAAGAGAAGCGTCAGCAGGAGGGGGGGGAGGAGGCGGAGAAGGAGGAGATGAGTTGAAGGACCAGCGTAAATCCAGAATGCGTCAACGACGTGCACACCCTTGCGTCCCAAACCGTCTCCCCTCAGAAGTCCCTGCAAATGTTCCTTCTTCATTGCGGGAGGTGCCCCCTTTACAGACGAGCGCTTTGGAGCGCGAAAACGGAGCACGCTGTTGAGGTCGATCCCTGGCAGCTTTCAGCCCGAGCGTGCGCGACGACGGCGTGCCTCTGGCAGTGCCCCCCTGGCCGTCGACGTGGGCACCGCCTCGCCCGACGCCGTGGCGGCCAGCCCAGACTGCGCTGCCACCATGTACCAGCGCAAGGTCGAGTACTACAGTGGAAACACATGCTCGGGACGATCGGAACTCGGAGGTGGGTAGACCTCCTACCCTGACGCGTCGATTAGCGAATTGGCCGTTTTCGGTTCGCGAGAGTGCGATGCGGCCGTCATTTTTGCCTGTCCAGGTCCGTCGGTTTCGGTCCCAGGCCGTTTTCACTAAGGGGAGGTTTACAAAAGGGAGGTTTGTCCACCGCCGAGGGTACAGTGACCGGCAGCAGCTCCTGTTTGTATTGAACAGGACTCGCTGTCCGCGCCGCCGCGGACGTTGGCCGTTGAAGACACAGAGCTGCCTGGCCAACAGCGGCCGCTGTCGGTTTGGGACAACATTTGTTGTTGGGTTTTGCGCCTATGTTTTCCGTACCCATGTCGGGCCTCCAAACGTGCCAAGAAACGCCTTGCTTGCATCCAGGGTGCCGTGGGTCTCTTGGGTTTCGATGGTTTTGCTATGGAGAGCGCGACGTGCCCACACCAAAACTCAATGGACGTCCTGGGGTCTCTGGAAGGTTTCTTGTGGTCGAGCTTCTACTGTACTGGCGCAAGGTCGTTCTGGCGCGGCAGAGCATCACATATCACCCTCTAGTCTGCACTGTTTCTCAATCCCTGGACTTTTTGGGGGTCGGGGGCGACGTCGGGGTGGTGTGGTGTATATTTTTTCGGTTTCCCGGGGATAGCGAAACATGTGTACACCAGGGTCCCGTATATGCGAGGATCTGTTTCCCGGTGCAACTTGCAGTAGAAGCGTCGTCGGTTCCCTGTGCACCCGGTGGCACCAGGTGTGGCTGGCCGCACCGTGCGGCTGGCCCCACCCCCGCGCGGCAGCCATCCCCCGCCCCCCTCTCGCGACAAGACAATCGCTGAAGCGTGGTCGTTCTGCTGGGGGGTGGCGGTGCAAGCGGCTGGCCGCGGCCATTGGCACTGAGGTGTGACGCCGCGCCGCCGGGCACGTCCATGCTATCTGGCCCGGCCGGGACGAGGGTGCCACCTAGGCACCCCCTGCCCGCGACCTTGACGCACCCCTCCCCCGCCTCCGCCCGCCCCAGCGCGCGTGCGCCTAACGGCGGGGCTGGGGGCTCTCACCCCGCGGCCGCGCCCCTCCGCCCCTCCGCCTCTCCGCCGCCTGCTCGTCCGCCAGCCTGCCTGCCTGCGTGCTTGCCTGCTTGCCTTCTCCTCCTCTCTTCTCTTGAGCCCATAGGCCGCGGGCTGTCAGGTCGCACTGGTTTGGGGCTTTTCCCTCCTCCCTCCCTCCTCGTCCGCCCTCGTTTCCTCCTCCTCTCTCGCCTCCCATGGCGCACTGCTTGGAGTCGTGTGCGTTTCCTCGGGCGGAAGGTCGTTGGGCCTCCTGCCGGCCATTTTTTGCGGGCCTCTGCGCGCCCTTCTTCGCCGCACTTTGTGCGGAAATTCGTAGAGTACAACTCGCTACCGTTGAATCAAGCTGTGTCGGGGTTTCTGGGCGTTTTTTATCCTCCGGCTTCGGCCCATGCCCGAGCTGTTCGGCTCCCTTCCTCTCCCTCCCTCGGTTACCCTCCTCTCCTCCTCGTCCTTCTCCTCCTCCTCCTGGCCTCCCTCCTCTTCCTCCTCCTCCTCCTCCTCCTGGCCTCCCGCCGTGAGAGGCGCGGGCGCGCGCGCCCAGCGGCAGGGTCTGGTGGCTCACGCCCCTCGGCCGCGTCCTCGCTCCGTGTGCTCTCGGCCCGCGCGCTGTGCGCAGCGGTCGTTTCCCCCTTCGTCCTCGGCCTCCTCTTCTTCCCCCCCCCCTGCTGGTCCGCCCCCTCGTCCTCCTCCTCTTCTTCCCCCCTCGTCCTCCTCCCCCTCGTCCTCCTCTTCTTCCCCCCCCCTCTTGGTCCTCCCCTTCGTCCTCCTCTTCCCCCCCTCGTCCTCCTCTTCTTCCCCCCCCCCTCCTGGTCCTCCTCTTCCTTTCGTTTTGGCCACGCTGGCATGACGGGGCGTCTTCAGACGCACCCGTCCCGCGATAATAATGCGGCCGCACCAGGGTTTCACAGTGCGTGGTCTTGTGTCGACGTCCATCTTCGTCGTCCCCCGGCACTCCGTGATGGACCATTTTGCGTGAATTGCTCCGTCGCTGAACGCAAGCGGCAGCAGGAGTTGCAGCCCATCTCGCGACATCGCTTCGTTGCGGAAGGCCATTTTTTTGACCTCCCTTGCGTGTCCAGGAAAACTCGTTCTGAATGCAGTTTTATGTGTATGTGCTCACACGGAAGACATGCCGGATGTTAGGGTTAACCGAAGTGAGCAGCATCGTGCCGTTACGCCTATTGAAAATGTCCGCCAGCTATTCTTGTCTGTAGCTGTCGGAGATAATGACTTTCAGGACGCAAGTGTGATAACGTCTCAGGCGAAACTCCAGGCCCGCCCTATCGACGCGCTGGCTGGTGCGACGACGGGGAGCTACCGTAAAAGAAAGGGGATTGAACAAGGAGAGGACGTTATGATGATGATGCTGCTGATGCTGATGAGGATAATGATGGTGATGGTGATGGTAGTGATGATGTTGCTGCTGCTGATGCTGATGCAGTTGATGCTGCTGATGATAATGATGATGGTACTGCTGATGATGCTGATGCTGCTGATGACGATGCTGATCATGATGATGCTGATGATGATGCTGCTGATGGTGATGTTGATGATGATGATGATGCTTTTGATTATGATGATGATGCTGATGATGATGATGCTGCTGATGATGATGCTGATGATGATGCTGATGATGATGCTGCTGCTGATGATGATGCTGATGCTGATGATGATGATGATGCTGATGCTGATGATGACGATGACGATGACGATGATGATGACGATGATGATGATGATGCTGATGATGATGATGATGGTGACGATGACGACGATGATGATGATTATGATGATGATGATGGTGATGATGGTGCTGATGGTGATGATGGTGATGATGATGATGATGACGACGACGATGATGATGATGATGCTGATGCTGATGCTGATGATGATGATGCTGATGCTGATGCTGACGATGACGATGATGATGATGATGGTGATGAGGATGAGGATGAGGATGAGGATGAGGATGAGGATGAGGATGAGGATGATGATGATGATGATGATGATGATTATGATAATGATGAGGATGATGATGATGATGATAATGATGAGGATGAGGATGAGGATGAGCATAAGGATGAGGATGATGATACTGATGATGATGATGATGATGATGGTGGTGGTGGTGGTGGTGGTGGTGGTGGTGATGATGATGATGCTGCTGATGATGATACTGATGATGCTGATGATGATGATAATGACGACGATGATGATGATGACGATGATGATGATGATGATGATGATGATGATGACGGCGACGACGATGCTGATGATGATGATGATGGTGATGGTGATACTGATGATGATGATGCTGATGATGGTGATGATGATGAAGATGATGCTGATGCTGATAATGATGACGACGACGATGATGCTGATGATGATAATGATGATGATGAGGATGAGGATTAGGATGAGGATGATGATGATGATTATGATGATTATGATGATGCTGATGATGATGATGATGCTGATGATGATGCTGATGATGATGATGATGATGATGATGAACATAATGATGAGGATGATGATGATGAGTTTGATGAGGATGAGGATGAGGATGAGCATAATGATGATGATGATGATGATGATGATGATGATGATGATGATGATGATGATGATGATGATGATTGTGGTGGTGGTGGTGGTGATGATGATGATGATGATGATGCTGATGATGATGATATGATGATGCTGATGATGATGATGATGATGAGGATGAGGATGATGATGATGATGATGATGATGATGACGGTGATGACGATGATGACGACGACGATGCTGATGATGGTGATGATGATGATGATGGTGATGATGATGCTGATGATGGTGGTGATGATGATGATGATGATGATGATGAAGATGATGATGATGATGCTGATAATGATGACGACGATGATGATGATAATGATGATGATGATGATGATGATGATGATGATGATGATGATGAGGATGAGGATGAGGATGATGATGATTATGATGATGCTGATGATGATGATGCTGATGCTGATGCTGATGCTGATGCTGATGATGATGATGATGACGATGATGACGATGATGATGATGCTGATGATGATGATGCTGATGATGGTGATGCTGATTCTGATGATGATGATGATGATGCTGATGCTGATGCTGATGATGATGATTGATGATGATGCTGATGATGATGATGATGATGATGATGATGATGATGATGATGATGATGATGATGATGATGATGATGATGATGATGATGATGATGATGATGATGATGATGATGATGATGATGATGATGATGATGATGATGATGATGATGATGATGATGATGATGACGCTGATGCTGATGCTGATGCTGACGATAAGCGTGGCGATGAGGAGTGGAGTATGAGGAGGAGGGCGAGGAGGAGGAGGAAACGGGGCGGGGACAACAAGTAGTGGGAGGAGGGTCATGGGAAGGTGAGGGACAAGATGTCAGGTGGCGAGGGGGAGGGGCGGGGGAGGTCTCATGGAGGGAGGGAGGAGGAGTGGGAGGATGGGTGGGGGAGGGGGAGCAGTGGGAGGAGGAGGGGGAGGTGGTGGAGGGGGAGGAGGAACAGGAGCAGACATACGCGACGAGTTTCTATTGAAGGCCTGGACAATCTCAGAAAACAGGAGGTCGATGAGGGGGACGATGGGGCTGAGAAGGGGGAGGACAACGAGGACACGGGGAAGAGGGAACTGAGAGGGGGGATGGAGGCTCAGGAGTATGGTGAGGATGGGGGGGGGGTGGAAAGAGGTAAGGGTGATGATGATGCTGCGATGACGCTGATGATGGCGATGGTGATGGCGATGGTGATGGTGACGGTGGTGGTGATGATGATGGTGATGACGACAGCGAGGATGAAAAAGGAGAATGGTGAAGAGGAAGTCGAGGATTAATTGGATAAAGAGGAACATGAGGAGCAGGAGGAAGAGGAGGAGGAGGAGGAGGAGGAACCATAGTAGGATGAGAAGTTTTGGGAAGAGAAGGAGGAGGAGCAACAGCAGGAGGAGGAGGGGGAGGAGGGGGAGGAGGAGGAGGAGGAGGAGGAGGAGGACGAGGAGCGAGGAGGGAAGGAGGGATGGAGTTGTCGCAAAGAGGGAGGGGGGGACGGGAGGAACCCCCGCCCACCCGCGCCAGGTATATCTACGCGGACGAGTCGGCCATCCGTCAGCGGATCAAGGCTTCCTCTCCCGAGCCCCGCCTCGCTTGGCTCGTCGTCGCTCCCTTTCGTCCGTCGGCGTCGTCGCTGGGGCGGGGGTGATCCAGACCTCCGTCGCCGCGAAAGCAGTCGCGTTGGCCTTATTGGTTGTCATGCTTTGTCGGTCTGTGTGGTAGGGGGGTGGCGTCGGTTTCCTGATAGTAGCGTCGGCTGCTCGGCCCACGCACAAAACAATCTGCTCTCATAGCTTTCTTATTCGTGCGAGCGGCATGTGCTGCGGTTGTTTTCCTTGAGTGTGTAAGGCCCGCGCTGAACTGGTCTGTCCATTAGTGTGCACGTGTATGTCCTGAGTGTTTCAGCGGAGACCAGCGTTTTGCGTCGCCAGACCGCTTCGCCTGATGGCGGCGTGTACGTGCGAACCGATGCGGCAAACGACGCGCGGGGTCGATCCATGGTGTAACCAGAAGCTCCCTGTGGGTAGCCAGATGCGTCGTCTGTGAGCCTCTCGCCCTCATCTTCCATGTCCTGCCTTCGGCCGCCTTCGGTCGTTTCTTTGAAGTACCTCTTTCCGATATCCCCTTTTTGATGCCCGCTTCGCCCCGTGGACCGTCAACAAACGACTCGGGATAACACTGGCCGCGGGAAGGGGTCGAGAGCTCTGGGGGCCCAGGCCATGCAGGAGATCGTGACCCCAGAGGCCCGGCGAGACCCCCGCCGATGCGACGCACGCCGCCTCCCCCCTTTGAAGAAGGCCGCGTGGGGGCCTGGGCGGAGGAGTCTACGTCTCCGAGGTCGCAGGCGAAGCCTGTGTTGGGTGGGGGGGCCTGGGATAGGGCGGCGCAAGCGCCTCCAGCAATCCTGATGGTGGGGTGTGATGTGTGTGCGCGGTATCAGATATCTTCCTCCTGTTCTCTCACACCCCTCGCTTTCTCCTCTCCTCCTCTCCTCCCCTCCCTCCCTCGTCCCTCCCCCCCCTCCCTGCCTCCCCCCTTCGCTCGCCAGGGCCCACTTCGATTAGATCGATCCGATTTTCCTCAATTCCGGCAAGCCCGATCCGATTCGATTCCGATGTTCCGGCCGTCCGGCGCGGCCCGATGCCTGCGTGGCGTTGCTGTGCATCCCGCGGCCGATCCGATCCAATTTCGTCTTCTTGCCGATGCAGCCCGATCCGACGGAGATTCCGATTCGACCCGATTTCCCGATCCGATGCTGATGCTGACCGATTCTGCTCCCCCCCCAAAGAGGTCCGCGCGGAACGGACCGGCCGCAGCGTGCCGGAGAGCCTCGTGCAGGCCTCGCTGGGGGCCATGGACAAGGCTTCGCCGCCGGGGCCTCCTCTCCTCCCGGGCTCCTCTTTCTCGAACCCTCCCCGCACGTCTCGTCTTGTCCTCCTCCTCCTCCTCCGCCTCCTCCTCCTCCTCCTCCTCCTCCTACTCCTCCTCCTCCTCCTCCTTTCCGAGTCCTCGTTCCGTCGCCTTCGTCCTCTCGCCTTCTCCTCGCTCCCTTTCTCCTCCTGCCTCCCCCTCCTTCTCCTGGTCTCTTGGTCGCTGTCGTCCTCCTCCTTTTCCTCTTCTTCCCTTGCAGACCTCCGCGTCACTCCTCTTCCCCTGGCGCACACTCCAAGTCCCAAGATCCGAACATGAAACGGAGGGGCAGTGCGTGCGAGAACTGCTCCTCTGCTCCCTGCCCCAAGCCTCACTCCCCGCCACCCGTCGTCGTGGTCCTCCTCGTTCGAGCTTCGAGCTGCTGGCAAGTGTATCTCTAGGATGCTGCCATCCGTTCTCCTCCTTCTCGTCCTCCCCCTTCTTGAGGCTCATGAAGCCATTTCGGGCCGTCGTGATGCTTTCCTGGAGCCGTCTCGGGTCTGTCTTGGGCCTTTTTGTGGTCGCCCAGCCGTCTTTGGCGCCCCTCGGGCATGAAGTGAAGCCCTGTTGGGACGTCTTGGGGCGTTTTTGGTGTGGTCTGGCCTCTTGGGGCCTCTTGAGCACGCTAGAGGCCATTTTGGGGTGGCCGAAATGCGTGGGAACCAGCAGCAATTACGTACAGAAGTTTGGTTCTCTCTCAGTTTGGTCGTCTGGGGCTTGCCTTTGGGCCTCAGTGGCATCACTGAGCTTCTTTGTGGTCTCGGCTGGTGTTTTTCTTCTATACCTCTTGGCTAGATGCCTCGAGCATGCGAGAAGCAATTTAGAGACCCGGCATACACATTTACACAAATGAGTTTCGTTGAAGAGCTTGTACTTGGTCTGCTCCTACATCGCGGTCTGGCCATGTACTCACCAGGCTTATGCCACATCGCCGGCTTGGGGAAAGATAGAGAGAAAGAGAGAGAGAGAGAGAGCGAGTGAACGAGAGAGAGGGCCTTTCTGAGTTATATTCTCCTCTCTTATTCCTCATCCTCCTCTTGAGGATGCTGGCCATTGCGCGCTCTGCTGCTCTCTGCGCCCTGCTGCTGTCAAAAAGCCTGCCCAGGGTCGGCAGCGGCTCGTCGATGGGAACCATTTCTTATCCCCTGAGGGGAAGCGGACTTGCCGCTCAGTCGAACTGCAACGGTCGTTCTTTGGGGACAAATCCTCTTGTGGCTGAGCAGTCGACGAAGAAAAAAAACATAAACATAAACTGTTGGCGTGCCGTACGGATTTTTTGGATCCGCGCCTGGCCCCCCCGGCGGCGCCTCCTGCGTTTCGGTAGGGGCTCTCGATGTCCCTCGGGTCCTTCCACAGCTGTTTCTGTGGCCCTCCTTGTCCATGCAGGCGCTTTTGGGGAGCAAGCATGGGCCTCGTTCCGTTTTGCATTTCGCATTGTTTCTTGAAAAGGCCTTACGGCTAGTGCCGCCGACCCTGAACGACGACGACGACGGCGACATCTCAGGCGCTGAATAAGTTGACTCCCCTGTGCGACTTCGTCGCTCGCATCAACAACTCCGGGGAGATCCCGGTGCTCACGGCCTTCGAGACGGTGGACACCAAGGCGCCCGCCTTTCTGCCCGCCCCCCCCCACAAAAACGATGTCGTGCAAGTTTCACAACGTTGCTTCCTTCCAGGACCAGCTCCCCCAGGGGGGTCGAAATACAGACCGCATCAGGGAGGAGAGGAGAGTGGTACTCGTACCGTGTAACTGCTTGTGTGCTTGTTTCACAACGTGGCTCCCTTCCAGGACGAGCTCCCCCAGAGGGGGGCGAAATGAAGACAGCATCAGGCAAGAGAGTAGAAAAGAACTCGTACCCTGAAACTGCAGAGGGGGGAACAGAGGGAGGGAAGGGAAGGAGAGGGAGAGGAGCAGGGGAGCTGGAAGGGGAGGGGGATGAGGCTGATGATTATGATGATGATGCTGATGATGATGCTGATGATGCTGGTGATGATGATGATGATGATGATGATTGTGATGGTGGTGATGACGATGCTGATGATGACGATGAATATGATGATTATGATGATTATGATGATGACGATGCTGATTATAATGATGGTGATGGTGATTTGGATTATGGTGGAGATGATGATGATGATGATGATGATGATGCTGATGCCGCTGCTGCTGATGATGATGCTGATGAGGACGATGATGCTTATACTGCTGCTGATGATGATACTTGTGGTGATGACGATGGTGATAGTGATGATGCTGATGATGATTGTGCTGCTGCTGCTGATGATGATGATGATGATGATGCTGATGATGCTGCTGCGGATGATGATGCTGTTGGTGGTGGTTGTAATGCTGATGATGATGCTGCTGATGGTGATGATGATGACGATGATGATGATGATGCCGATCATGATAATGGTGATGCTGATGATGACGATGAGGATGATGAATATGATAAGTATGATGAGTTTGCCGATGCTGATGACTCCGTTGTTTTGATGATGATGCTGATGCTGAGGATGATGATGATGCTAAGGCTGATGCTGATGCTGATGCTGTTGCTGATGATGCAGTTGACGTTGTTGATGCTGGTGATGCTGATGCTGATCATGACGATGTTGATGCTGATGTTGATGATGATGCTGATGCTGATGCTGACGCGGACGACGATGATGATGATGCTTATTCCGATGATGCGACTGATGATGCTTATTATACTGATGATGATGATGATACATATGCTGCTGACGATGATGATGCTGAGGATGATGCTGATGACAATGCTGATGATTCTGATGATGATGAGGATGCTGCTGAGGATGATGATGATGATGATGATGATGATGATGATGATGATGATGATGATGATGATGATGATGCGGACGGTGCTGCGGCTGATGACGCGGACGAGGATGATGATGATGCTGATCATGACACTGATGATAATACTGCTGATGATGATGCTGATGATGCTGATGCAGATGCTGATGATGTTGATGCTGATGCTGATGCTGATGCTGATGCTGATGCTGATGCTGCTGTTGACGCTTCTGCCGATGCTGATGATGCTGATGAGGAGGAGGATGATGCGTAGGATGATCATGATGATACTGATGCTGATGTTGTTCATGATGATGGTGATGATGATGATGCTGCTGATGATGATGACGATGCTGCGGCTGCTGATGCTGTTGATGATGATGATGCTGATGATGATGTTGATGTTGTTGATGCTGGTGATGATGATGCTGATGCTGATGAGGATGAGGATGAGGATGAGGATGATGCTGATGATGATGATGATGATGCTGATGCTGATGATGATGATGATGATGCTGATGATGATGATGATGATGATGATGATGATGATGATGATGATGATGATGATGATGATGATGATGATGATGATGATGATGATGATGATGATGATGATGATGATGATGATGATGATGATGATGATTATGATGATGATGATGATGATGATGATGATGATGATGATGATGATGATGATGATGATGATGATGATGATGATGATGATGATGATGATGATGATAGTAATATGATGGTCATGGTGATATGATGGTGATGATATGATGATATGATGATATGATGATATGATGATGATGATGATGATGATGATGATGATGATGATGATGATGATGATGATGATGATGATGATGATGATGATGATGATGATGATGATGATGATGATGATGATGATGATGATGATGATGATATGA